CGATGGAAAGAAAGAAGGAAAAATGTGGAACTGAGGTGAAAGCACCTACACACGTGTCACACCGGTCCGACATCTACACAGTGCATACATCAAATGAAATGCTGATGACGCACATGTGAACGCGCGTTACTGCCGAAGTAAATAAATGGTTTAACAATTGCTTGATTATTTGTTTGGGTCGAATCGACATTTTCGAGACTTTGACCATTAAATCGGCAAATTGATTGGAATTTTACCGAGAAAAACAGAAAGAATATCTCCCCTTGGACGCACATGCACAAGCCAATCCTGAAGAAGGATTTTTTAAGAAACACGGAGATCTACACACGAGACAAATAAAATACAAATCCCCTGAAATAATTGATAGAACAGTGATACCCCATGAATTGCTTCCTGTGAACCCAAAACATCGATATTTTCAAACGGAACGTATTCTGAATTTCCAGAGACATTGACATTCCGTATTTCGAAAATTTGCCGAAATGTGACTGTCCTCGCGATGCCACACACTGCTTACGCATCATGCACGCGCATTTATGACTAAGGAAATAAACAAATGTATTTGATTATTGTACATGGTGTTGTGTTAATTCTATTTACCATAGAACATGGTTGCATTGAATTACTCGCAAACCAAAGCCAACGGCGCATGCACTCAACAAACATGCCCCAATTTTCCGTTGCCGGGCATAATTTTTATCGAGAGAGAGAGAAAAAAGTGTATGTGAAAACAACAAAACGTTGAGGCAAATAGTGTGTGTGTGTGTGTGTTTCATCATACCATTAACTCTTTTGTTATCACAATTCATGTGGTTGCATGTCGATCACTCCAAGCAATTAACATGGAAAACAATTAAAAGCAATCCAAAATGAAACAAAACCAAAATAACCAAATCTGTTTCAACAGAAACACAAAATAAGAGAACAGATAATCGGTTTGTGGAAATGACGATAGTAAAAAAATGGTTTTGCTTGTAACAGATTTCCTGCTGGTGGAATGCGGAATGGAAGACGACAAACCATAATTGACAATTATGATTTGAAAAAAAAAAATCCATTGAAAGATCGAAATGAAATAGACGAAAATGTGAAACATACTAAGGGAGAGACACGAAACTTAAATGAGTAAAATTAGAACATTATTCAACGATCATAGGAAAAAATAGAAGTGAAAATTAGTGAGTTTGGCTTACCAATGTTAACGCTTATGGACGTATTGTTTATTGTTTACAAAATAGTCCCATTAGGTCTTCCATAAGCGTTGTATTGACAGCGTAATACGCAAGCGATTTTACTAGAAATAATAGCACAATATTAGCACTTTTGCACCAAAACTAGAAAAATTAGAGGACATAAAGCAAAAAATATATAAAATTGAGTGTAATTAGACTCCAATAGAATTTGTGTCTCGCCCCTAGGAAATATATCCAGAATTTGGCTAGGATTACAAGTTATAATTTACGACGAAAGCCAGTTCAAATCGATTAAACAAAACCCGCCTAAATTGATGGAAAGAAAACTCCCTTTAAATCCACAAGTATGAGCCCTGAGATGACTTTAGCGCACTCAAGTGCGCTACAGCGCACCCGAGTATTTTTGTTGTTTTTTCGTTCTACTTTAGCTTTTTGGCCAGGATTTTTTTAAAATAATTTGTGTAACATAACGAAGAAGAGCTTACATTTTCTGCCCCCGGTATTCGCATTGTGTGGTCATATGTATAGCTGCACAGTTAATAATATATTATTATTTATACTATCGGTATTAACATCGCATGTTAATAATATATCAGTATGATAATAACGGTATTAAATGGTATTAACTAGTAAGTAATAGCGATATTAACAGGCGATGTTAATAACGTATCAGTTGTTAATACTGATAGTATGATCATACTATATTATTATGATTTTTATTATCAATACTGTGACGTCACTAACTTCCACGATTTTTCGCTTTTTCCGCGAAACTGATAAGAGATAGCGGTTTGGTGTCTTCAGCAATGTTGTAGTAC